CTGGAGTTGTGCATGAAGCTGAGTGGCTTCTTGACTGTGAGCCATCACATCTTGCTCACTCTGTTGCAACTGGGCCTCGAGCTCCGCCGCTTCAATAGCCTTCACCTCTAACACCGGGAGGTGCACGACAAGTTGATTCCTCTTGGCCAAGAATTGGTCCCGCTCGGACATAAGTCCCTCTTTGTCGAGGATCAATCTCTGAAGGCCCTCGGAAGCGAGGAAGTTGGCCTGCAAAGAAAATACCAAAGTTAGAAATCCTGTCATAACAAGTCAAGTAGAAACAAGCAACAAAAGAACAAGTACAGTACCGCTGTTGCATTGTGCATGGCATTATTCAACAAACACTCCCCCGAAAGAGAGTATTTTTTTCTTATCTTTTTCTGAAGCCAGAGGCTTTAGATAGTTGGCAAGTTCCACCGGCCTAGATAGCAGGTGAAACTCCTTTGATATCGAGAGAGAGACGCTCCTCCTCCCTTGGGGATCTGCAGAAGAGGGTGAATAGTTATGCACCAAATTCCCATGGTCAGGTCCTAGGGAGGAGGGACATCTTCCTCTCGGGCGTTCTATGGCCGGGGGAGCAGATGTAGCAGTTGCTGCTGATGAAGGCATAGCTGGTATGGAGAGAGATAAAGCTGATGGTGTTATAGGTTGAGAAGCAGCTGCGGCAAAGGCAGTGTTGTTTGTTGGTTGCTCACCAACCGAAGGCAGAAGAGGCCCGATATCCGACCTCATAGGACCTAGAGTAGAAACTGGGACTAGAAAGAGAGAGTCAGCGTTCTCCACTAGATCCAGATGTCCCCAGAGCGGCGAACCTCATCCTCGGTTGGGGTTCTAAGCTCTCCTGATTGAGCATTCTGCTGAGCTGATGAAGATCCTTGTCTCCTTCGAAGGGAAGCCTCTCCATCACTAGCTTCCCTGTCTGTCGTCAATAACCACACTGGTTGTGGCTGGCTCGGGCATGGATTTCTTTACTTTTTTATTTTTATCCCCGGCCGAGGAATAACACTGCCTTTTTGGTTGCTTGTTCTCTAGCCGGGGACTCCGAGAGGAAGCACCTGCACCAGAAGCAGACACGAGGGCACCGGTCCGGGTGAGAGCCTCCTACAATAACCTTGCAGCCTCTCCGGGATTGACCAAAATATCCAACTCAGGGCAGGAAACAGAACCCCGCGGGAGACCTGAATAAAAAAAGGTAAGGTTAGCAGGTTTCCTTATGTACAAAGGTGAATGAAGGAAGAGTAAGTTTACCGTGGTTCTTGGCCCTCCACCCTTAGTTGGGGGCCAACTCCTTCCACCGGTGGGTCTCTGGCCTAGCGATGTGCATAATCTTCTGAATCCATCGGTCCAAGCCTTCAACCCTTGGTGGTGTCCACCGAGTAGCTAAAATAATGAAAGAAGAAGGGTTTAAAATAACATGAAAGAACCTTTTTTCAGAGAAAGATAGACTTTAAACTTACGTGAATGATTCCAGGACTCGGGGAAAGATGGAGTTGTGGCCGAGATGATATCACTGGTAGAAATGACAACAAACTACTCCATCCATCCACGGTCATTGTCATCATCCATACTGGTAAGCAAAGCATGGTGGCCACGCTTGTTAAAGTTTATCACTCCCCCACGGAAGATTTTAAGGGAGTAGAGGTTCATCATATGTGCTAAGGTGAGAGTCTCCTTCGTTTCCAAGCACAGCTGCTGAAGACTAGCCACCTTTCGCCACATAGAGGGGCCTACTTGTGCCAAGCAGACATGATACCGGTGGCAGAACTCCAAGATCACGGGGTCAAGTACCCGCTCAAAGAAAACGGACACAAAGTGAAGGGATACATACAAACGTACGTAAAACCCTTCTTAGTGAAGGTCAAATGCTCCACCAGGTGAGGAGAAATGATATTTAGAGCATGGTAATCACAATCTTATTTAACAGTAGAAATACTGGAAGGGCGAATATAAGAAGGGTATCTGCCAGCAGTCCAAGTTCGAGGGTTTGAAGTAGGGAATTTCTCTTCGAAATCTTTGGCAGTGTTCAGATGTTTAGGTATGATGGTGCTCATCGTGGGAGGATCAACATCAATATCAACCTTTTTATCTTTACTCCTTTTCGGGCACCCACCGAAGAGAAGACCCGAATTCTTGAAAAATCTAGAAGAAGCCATAATGATAAGGAGATGATAAGGTTTTTGAAGAAGAACAAAGAGAGATGAAAGCAGAAGGGAGTTAAGCGCAAAGAAGTTGAGAATGCTTATGAAGCTGTTAGAAGTGAAAGAAGAAGAATGAGGTGTATAAGTAAAGGTATAGGCGGCTAAAATCGTGGCCATGATTACCTCAAGAACCGGCAAAAATATTGTTGAATCATGGGGTAACACATGTTCGGGGTATTAAATACAAGGAGACACGTCTTATCAAGCATCAGAAACTTTTCAGAAGGGTTCAGAATTTCCCCCCAAGAAAGGAATCTTCACCAACTTCCTGATGACACAAAGATGTGCCACCCGAAAGCAATGGGACTATCAGTATAGGGTGAAATTGGTTTATATTAAATGCTCGAATGATTACATGACAGGTGGAATCGGAGGTGGACGAAAGATGAAGCGAGTGGAAGCCAAGACTGAGGACAACAACCTCGGCTGATATCGGGTAGATCCCGAAGGGAACGCAGTCAGCGGAAGCAACCGAATGTTTGTTATCGGATGACATTTAATGAAGAATATTCCTCCGTATTAAATATGCAGTCGTTGCTGAGAATTTTGGCATTCATGATCTGCCGTTACGTATTCATCAATGGCCCCATTATTGTCAATCTTGTTCCATAGGTATAGTTATAAATGGGAATTCAACAACCATTGTAACACACGAAATCTCTGACAAAAATATTATGCTACACATTATTCTCAAACTAAATAATACTTTATTTTCTGTCTAATATTGTTCTTATCGCTGTCTCCGGAAGCCTTGCTCCCGGCACCAAGCTGCTTGCTATTTCTTTCGATTTCAACACTAAGTCTTATATTTTCAGTTAATTTATTTATCATTTTGTGATCAAATCAGTTCGCTTGTCTATAAACCACGCAACAAATTCAACTTTACCGTTTTACGGGTAAACAACCTTAAAGAATAAACCGCATGGCAAATTAAGACAAAACTAATAAGAATTTAGGATAAAGTTAAAAGGATAAGCATAAAATATAATGTATTAAATTTGTATCACATTCGAAGATTTTGGAAAATCTTCATTTTTAATTGGACTAATAAATGCCTAAAGTTATGGGATATTGTAATCCTATTTAAATCACGTTTTACCACTTTGCCGCTTTAATTTTAGGCATTTAAAAGGGTACGTTATGCGCAAGAAAAATATATTTCAAACGGTAACGTTGAAAGAAAAACTTTTTGAAGCCTACGTTATTTGCTCTTTCTCTTTCTATTAAAAGATAAGTATATCGAAATTATCGAAAACTTTTTAAATTATCGAAAAATAGAGAAATTTATAAACCAAATGCCAATAATTTATATATATATATATATAGGGATAAAAATTTTAAATTTGAACTATAATATAAGAAAATCAATTTAAATTAAAAGATAAGTATATTTTTTAGCTACTCAATGACTGTCCTTCAGAAAGTTGAGGCAATAAGCAATTAAATTTTCAAAAAGCATAAAACAAGTGGCATGTTAAGAATAAGACAATGAAAAAATTAGCACAAAACTAATAAAATGAAGACAAGGCTAATAAAAATTGTAATAAATTTTTTGAATGAAAGATAACGTTTGAATTTATCTATATCTATATCTATATATATTATTAAAAAAAGAATAGTCAGTCTTGAGATCAAGTCGAGTGGGGCATCGAGAATAAGACACTTTCACAATATAGGTTAAAGTTCGTAAGGATCAGGATAAAGTTCTTAATAATAATTTTAAATTGATTTATTAATTTTTTAAGACTAGCCGTATTTTTCTAAGATTATCAAAAGCTAGCTTCTCAGGTTTGTCCTTAACAATTTTAAAGTTGTATATTATCTTTTAATTTTGGACAATATTAATTGACGATATAATAAAATTACGTGATTAATTTTTGAATTAAGTGTAATTATTTTTAAATTCGAATTAAAATATAAAATATTTGAGTCCCGTGTGGTTAGTTTTTTAATTTCAATTAAAAAATAACCAACTAGATATTATCCTGACACATTTTTAAAATAGAAGACCACTAGCAAATTAGAAGCATGTTATTCATGGGTAAGATTGAGCTTTTTGTTTCATAAAAATAAAACTAAATTTTCTGGAATAATGAGAATAATTGTTTGAAATAGTTGCTTTACCTTCGATCCAATCATTTTATGAAAAAGTATGTTTGAGAACGAAAAAGATAAGAAAAGAATTTGTACAGGGGATGAAAAACAAACAATGGCGTGGGTCTTTTATTATAACAAAATATCAAGAACTTCTAATATTTATGTTTTTCAATTTTACATATAGAATAAAGTATGATATCATAGAGTTTATCTATCGGATATATTGAAATAAGAAAAAGAAGATAGTTTAATTTTGTTAAAGCAATATAATCTCATGCGCTTAAACAATTCAAATCAAAGTTGATATAGTAATATTTTTAACGTTATCCGCGTGTCACGTGAGTTCTAATACTAATTAGCTTTAAAAAGAATGCTGAATTGATATACCCTCGACGCCCTGGCACCCTTTTTATACTTAGGTGTTGTTTGGTACAATAATGGAATATTCATATTTCATGTGATTAGTTATCCCATCTTCTTTCGTTATTTAGTGTAAAAATTATTCCAAAATTAACTAATACCTTAGATCAAATATGGAATAAAGTTAATACCAAATTTTATCCCGAAATTATTATTAGTGCAAAGACCGTTAAAAACTGTAATCACCCCAATAAGCTGGGACAAATCCAGACCGTTAATTCCATTTGATCTGACGGCCCGCACAATGCCAAAATATAAGTGGAAGAGATAACATTTCATTCATCTTTCTACAATTTCTTTCATTGCTGCTTGAAAATTTAGCTGTCATGGCTGCTCTAAGATTCAATCCTTCAAGAATCAGACACCCTTTACTTCAAACTCATAAACCTATTTCCAATTTGACTTGTTTAACTGAATTCCCCTTTCAATCAGTAGCAAAATTTCCCAAAACGAAGCTCAAGTCTGTTCATTCTCCATCATGTTCAATTTCTGAAGCTTCTTCCATTTCATCAACGTTGGAAGCTGAAGAAGATGATGATGACCCCACTGCTGAATTAGTGTATCTTGACCCTGAAATTGACCCTCAGAGCATTTCTGAATGGGAAATAGATTTTTGCTCTAGGCCAATTCTTGATATTAGAGGCAAAAAGTTATGGGAGCTTGTTGTTTGTGATGATTCCTTGTCCCTTCAGTATACCAAATATTTTCCAAATAACGTTATCAATAGCATCACTTTGAAAGATGCTTTAGTCTCCATATGTGATGACTTAGGCGTGCCCTTACCAGATAAAATCCGCTTCTTCAGGTTAGTTTTCTACTCCAACTTCACATATTTCTTTCTGTTTTTTCTACTCCCTCCGTCCCATTTTATGTGATCTAGTTTGAATGTACTCCAAGTTTGAAACTTCGGGCTATAAATCATACACTAAGTGTGTAAATTAAGAAGTTTAAAGTTAAAGTATTTCTAAATATAGAAAAGTATGATTCTTTTTGTGACATACTAAAAAGCAAAGTGCATCACATAAATTGGGACAGAGGGAGTATTTCTGTTGCATAATTGATATGGAGTTTTGAATCTTTTGAATTTTAGGTCACAAATGCAGACAATTATTACAAGAGCTTGCAATGAGCTTGGCATCAAACCTGTTCCTAGCAAACGGGTATTTGCCTGATTGTTTTCTCGCGCAGCAATTATAGTTTTTAGATGATACTTATGGTGAACTACTTTTACAAAGATTTTAGCAGTAGGAAATGCAGAATTCAATTGCTTTAGCAATATAGTATTTTATAGTAAAACATAAGTGGTTGCTGACATTCTTCTCGGGATGATCAATGACATGAATTGTTAAGTGGCCGCATTTTTATGTTTACTGATGCCAGAATTACCTAAAGGCTAGAAGATGAAGTTTGTGAAAACTTGTGTTGATCCTACCATATTTTCCCGGTAAATCCATAAGGATACAATTAAGCATATAAAATGCTGCCTTCATTTTGTCTTTTGGTGACTATTGGTATAAAGATATAAATTTTGTATGAACAAAATTTTTCTTTTACTGTCCTCTGTGTTTGTAGTCTCTCCAAGAGAAGCTTCCCCTTTGCATGCTTCAGTTAGATATATAATGGAGAGCTTCATTTTCATATTTGATCTGAAAATGCATATCAGTTTCAGACTCCTTTCTGTGCCCTCAATGCTGTATATACACCAGTACACCACTCAGTAATGGCCAAATGAAAAGGGAAAATTGGTTTTTGATCCGTGAAGCAACAAAAGTTCATTCTTTGATAAGAAGAAAACAAAAGAGGCCCATATTAAACAATCCCCTTCCTGCCTGTGAGGAATCAGTGGTGACGGTGAAGAAATAACTAGTACAAGATGACTGCAAATAATCTGCAATTCCCCTTCTTTTTTTTCTTTTTTTCTTACTTTTAAATTTCAAGATTTTATTGTTCTGAAGAAACTTGTTATCAACAGTTGTATTGGCTAAAATATTGGCAAACATAATTTTTTGGTTGTATTGACGACACTTCTTCATTTTGAAAAAAAGAAGCTAATACGTTTTGAATCCTTATAAAATTCCCACAATTAAAAGTCGTCTGGAATGTATATTTGGAAACCCTTATTTAGTAAAAAAAAAGTATGTTTCTTCCTTATTTCTTTGAGCTTTTCATCAATGCTGCTATTAATAAATTTTTCTTTCTTTCCATTGTTACCATTTTAATGATTTGTAATTTGAAAGTTTTTCACACTACTTATGTTTAAAAAGTTGGATAGTAATGATTTAAAAAATAGAGGTGAGGATTTAGGTCTGCAACAGTAAATTGAGCACTAGTATATCCTGTCAATATACCTGATGGGCACAGACAGGTACTTTCCTGAGGGTATAACAACGTTACGACAATATTTTGCACTCAATTTTGAAGTTACAGAACTTTAACAACACAATTGTCTTAATTTGTGTTAAAACATGCTTTGTATCATTAATCAATGCCATTTCTTCTCTAGAAGTATATTTTAATGTCTGCTGCTGTATTTCAGTGTTTATCACTTGTTCTTTGGCTCGAAGACCGCTATGAAACTGTTTATACTCGCCATCCTGGTTTTCAAAAAGGAGCCAAGCCACTTCTTGCTCTTGACAATCCTTTTCCAATGGAACTTCCTGAGAATCTTTATGGAGAAAAGTGGGCCTTTGTCCAGTTGCCTTTTTCAGGTACTTTAAGCGTAACATTCTAGAAGATAAAAGACTAACCGAGGATCTCTAATTTCCTCGTGGAAGCTTTTGATGAGTTGCAAATTTCCTATCTTTCGCAGTTACACTATTTGTTGCACCTCTTTGTCTAGAATCTCTATTGTAATTTGCCATATTTCTCACTGGAATTTCATTTTGAGAATATAGACTTGGATTAGAACCAATATCAAGTTGGAAATAAATTACTATTACTCCCTCCGTTCCAGTTTATGTGAATCTATTTCCTTTTTGGTCCGTTCCAAAAAGAATGACCCATTTCTAAATTTGGAAACAATTTTGCTTAAACTTACAATTCTACCTTTAATGAGAAGCTTTTATAACCACACAAATGCTCTGGCCCCTTTTTGACTTGTTTAGGACCACAAATTCCAAAAGTCATTCATTTTTTCTTAAACTTCGTGCCCAGTCAAACAAGTTCACATAAATTGGAACAGATGGAGTATAATATTTCATATTGTACCTTCAGAATTATGACTTACGGTTCATCTTGTTTGTAGCTGTTCGTGAGGAAGTATCTAACCTGGAGACTAGGTTAGTTTTTGGTGCAAGTTTAGACTTGGATCTTCTGGGGATCGAAATTGAGGACACAACATTGATTCCCGGATTAGCGGTTGCAACCTCACGTGCAAAACCATTAGCAGGTATGATAGCTTTACCAATCTTTTTTAACTTTATTGTTTTAACTTTTCTTTTTATGTGAGTTTGTGAGCATGCACGAGCACAGGTGTTGTTCCTAGATTGACAAGTTTCCATCATAGTTCTTTTATGACTCTCATATTCTCAATCAGTATACATTGACATACTTCCCGTTTCTTCCCTTTTTTTGAATAAAATTGCATTTCACTGAATTAAATCAACATCATTGCATTTCAATGTTAGGGGCAGGGTGTCTAAGGATTTAATTGTTCAATAAGCAGGATAACCAGTCAGAATTAGTAGAGATGGCAGGTTGTGGGCCCAAAATCCTGAGGCCATAGGTTGAAGTGTTGAACCCTCTTTTTCTTTTGATCAAGCAACAAAATTATATGAACAATTGGAAAAAAACACCCCTATACAAGAAGTATACCAAAAGTAGAAAGCCTTACAAAAAGATACGGTTTTCTACAAATGACACACAATCTTCTATGCTTATAGGAACCTCATGGGTGCACCAAAAGGAAATAAGGGATAAGAGGCTATTCCTTGTAGGTTGAACCTTCCTGTGAGGATTAATTAGAATACTTATACTGTTCCGAGATGTGGTTTGTTTGGATTCATTACTGCATGTTATTGTCTAGTTGTTAGATGATTGAAAAAAAGAATGTCTTTGAAGATATGACTCTTCAATTTCCCAATATGTTTTGAGAAGGAAATAATGGATCCGAATGATTTGGGGAGTTCTTCAATTTCCCAATATGTGATTGAAGCACTTGGTGTTAGCCCTTTCCAGAAGTTAATTTATTTGGAGCTTGACAAACGGATCAATCTCCTCCAAAAACGCATGTTCCTTGCACTCAAAGTTTCCCCATGTTTTGCAAGTGCAGAGTGTCTGTCCACCCTAGGTACGGTTTCCACTCTTTAGATTCGAAATCTATCTTTCTGCTCTATTTGTTGGGCACTAACAAACAATAAGTCTATGTCCAAATTTAAGGTAAAGTTTGGTCAACCCATCAGTATACTGTCTGTAGCCAGCACCTATAGACAATTCTAGGCTTTTTATTGCCAAAACTTTGAATGAGAGATCATTTTATGGTCATAACCATTTAACATGTCTCTTTTATTACCTTAACGCTGAATGTTTTTATCTGCATATACAATTTCTGTTGCACAACTAGAAATGTCTTTAGATAAATCATATACAATTTCTGTTGCGTATAAAGATATTTATATTCTTTTTGTTGTGCACTACTACAGCTTGGATGAATGGTTTGGAAGTCTGTTCGATTGAAGCTGATGTTGCCCGAGCTTCCTTAATTTTGTCTGTGGGTATCTCTACCCGCTACATTTATGCCACTTACAAGAAAAACCCTGTATCCACAAGTGAAGCAGAAGCTTGGGAAGCAGCAAAGAAAGCATGTGGAGGTTTGCACTTCCTTGCTATTCAAAATGACCTGAATTCTGATGATTGTGTTGGATTCTGGCTTCTATTAGACTTGCCACCTCCACCTGTATAACTTGATAAACTGAATACAAGGTTTTCCTTTGTACATTCTATTTTCTTCCTGCCCTTGACATTTCCTGAATGTAGAGAGATCAGCTTGCAAGTCGTCATATTGCATCAATAGCAATTAGATTCTATTCAAGTCTCGCGAAAGTAGAGGGAAAATATCTGAAAGAATTATGGTCATTTTGAGCATTTACATAAAATACAGTATGTGATATGTTCAAATTGAGAAATGTGGAAATTCTTATGCTCTCTCTTTGCATTTGCTTACGGCCCTGATTTACTTCCATTGATTTCATCTATACAATTTTTTGTCATATTTGTGCCTTCTATGTTTCTCCAAAGCATCGGTACCGCCTAAAAGCTCAGTTTAGAGTTGCAGTAAAAAATAAATTTGTTCAAGACATGTAGAGAAAGGAGGTAATATCAATTAGAAGGAAGGAGATAAAAGTTGGATAAAACTAGTAAAATGCGTGGCCATATCTGTTTTTTTTTCTTGGTTTAATCATCTAGTAATTCATTAGTCCTACTAATCCAGATTCATATCATGGCTCATTTATAGTATTTTGAAATTTTACCCGCATGACCCCAGCGCACACCTTGCCCCTTGTGCGTTGCCTGTGAGGTGCATGCTTGTCGGCTGTCGCACAAAGCCAAAAAAGAAAAAAAAAGCTTTGCCATGCGAAGGGCATGCGGCGTGGGATGCAAAATCTTACGCACGGGAGCACAACGGGTGATTTTTTTTTTTTTTTTTTTTTTTTTTTTTTTTTTTTTTCAATCTTGCCCCATGGGATGTTAAAATCCACTCGAGCCCCTCGGATCCTAACCTAAATCATCCCTGCAAGTCCAAAATGGTTATACAAACTAATACAAAATCTCAAAACACGATTCAGATTACAAGTGCGCAAAACAACAATCGGGGTTGTTACACTTTAGAATTGGTGGATAAGATTATAAATAAGAAAAAAATTAAAAACAAAAGAGTTGGTGACAAGGTTATACTTGAAAATTATCTCGACCAAACTACCTTTATGTGCTACATATATATATAGGTTTTTCGTAGGGTTTGACGAAGTATTTTATGGGATCGAAAATTTCAGTTGGGAAGTGGAAAGCTGATGCCATGCAAGAGTTAGTGGAGACAGTTCTTGGACCAAAGCTAGTACCTAATTATTGACCATATTTAGATTTTTTTTATCACTTTTAGTATTTAAATAATTTTTAAGTTTAATTTTGATATTTTAGCTTTTGTTTCACCTTTTTATAGATTTTATTTGAGAAAATTGGAAACCAACAAAAAGATTCACATTTTTAGAATATTAATTTTTGTTCATTTGCAAAAGAAAAGTAAAACTCAAAAAAAAAATGTTCTCATTTAAGAGATACTTTAGCTAATATTTCATCCTTGTATTTTTTTTATTTGTCTTAAAAAAGAAAAGAATTTGAAAATGATACAAAAAACAAACAACAGCCAATTAGAAATAGCCAAGTTACAAAGATTCATTTTTTAATAACAAACTTTGCACCTGCCCATAGGCACAACATATTTTACACCGTGCACATCACCTACACACTACACATACTCCTATTTTTCTTGGCCAACAATTCATATCACCTGCATATATACCATCACACACACACGGAAAAAGGGGATTGGGGGGGACGAAAAACAGAGAGCACGAAATTAGGAAAAATGCTAGCAGCCTCTTTCATCATCTAAAGACCAACCAAAAAACCAACAGCTTTTCTCCATGGAAATTAGCTGCAACTTCACCCAAAAACACCATTAAAACTGACCCATATTCCTCCAGATCTCAACCTCCTAACACCATGTTAAATCCCCTTAAATCTAGTGTGAAAATCAGCACAAGAAGGGCAGTAAAATAGTATCGAAAGTCACTCCAAAAGGTCATAAATAACACCTCAAACCCAGCTGAAAACAGCTCCAAAATACCGCAAAAATCAGCACCAAACCACCCCGAAACAACCACTCTTTCTATGTCAAAACAGAGGCTACCGGTGAGTTCGGGCTCCTTATTTGAAGTCGTCGTTCGAGTCACTTGAGGTTCTGTATACGGTCGAAATAGATTTCGGCCTTCGCACGTCCGATCGAGTTCGAACGATGGTCGATCGAAGTGAGGCTCTGAAGATGGAACAAACAAGCCTCGAACCCGAGGGGCCGATCCGTGTCGAGTTCGACATCGTTATCGAGCTCGAATCCAAATCAAACTATGATGTAGAGTAAAGCTATCATGCTTATGATCCAGAGACCAACTAACATTGACCCCGAATCAATTCGAGAGCTCGAGTCAGAATCGAGCTCGGGCCAAGATCGAGGGTTCGAGTCAGAATCAAGCTCAAACTAAGATCGAGGTCTCGATACAAGATCGAGCTCACAGACAAGAGCCGTTGCAATCCCACTAGAGAGAATCTTGGCAGAAATTGTGGAAAAGCTGATTTATCATGGGTCTCCCATTGAGTATTTTTTTATTATTCTTAGAGCAAGGTCCCTCTAATATAAAGGGCATGGTTATCATTTATGGAAGGGCAGGTTTTCAGGCTTACATTGTAATAAAAATACTATATTCTCCCAAAGTAGAGAATTGTTCTTTGAGGCTTCTTAAATTGATTCTACTTGTTGAGTCCTAAGATTCATTTTCTTTACAACCATATCTATTTCGCATTCTTCGTAATCCATATTTGTATTTCTATTTATCCTTATAATTTGTGTTAAGTTGCGCCACATATCCTTGGAACTACGTATAAATTCAACTCTATCCATTTTTTCGGGTAAATAGTTTGGCGCCCACCGTGGGGCCAAGGATAACAGTAGTTATTTGATACGAATCTGAAAAAACACGCCATTGCATTTTGCGCTTATTTCCGAAAACATCTTGAATTTCGGATCAGCTACGAATAACCATCAATCAAATGGCTTCACCGATTGATAACGGGGCCGGTCTTCAAGACGAAAACAACAACTTGACACCCAGTACTGAAAGACCACTTGTTAATACCGTTGGAGCACGAATCGGAGCGCCAGTTGATATCAATTCGCATGTAGCCATTGAGGCGAACATACATGCTGAACCCGAGAATAGCATCTATGGTGGCACTCGATCTGCGGCTCGAGATACTCATAACGTCGAGGAAAACGGTGTTAGCTTGCGTATAATTTTCGAAATGTTACAAGCCCAACAGGCAGCAATAGGTCAGTTGCAGAACCAAACCCAGCTACAAAGCAGGCCGGAGCCCAATCCACCCCGAGAAATCACCCACAGAACGGAACCAGCCATAGTGAAATCAAATGAGCAAGAATCGGGGACTACTCCCGAAATTGCTAAACTGCTCGAGGAACTCACAAAGCGAGTCGAAGCCAACGATAAAAAAGTAAAAACTTATAACTCTAGGGTCGATCAGATCCCGGGAGCTCCACCAATGATAAAAGGGTTGGATTCGAAAAAATCATGCAAAAACCCTTTTCCTCGAGCGCAGCCCCGAAACCAATCCCCAAAAAATTCCGTATGCCCGAAATTCCTAAATATAACGGAACGACCGATCCCAACGAGCACGTCACTTCTTACACATGTGCTATCAAGGGCAATGATTTAGAAGACGATGAAATCGAATCTGTGTTGCTAAAACAATTCGGAGAGAGCCTCTAGAAGGGGGCAATGATTTGGTATCATAACCTACCGCCAAACTCCATCGACTCGTTCGCCATGTTAGCAGATTCTTTTGTGAAAGCGCATGCCGGCGCCATAAAGGTCGCAACAAGGAAGTCGGACCTCTTCAAGGTAAGACAAAAGGATAACGAGATGATGAGGGAATTCGTATCTCGTTTTTAAATAGAACGAATGGACTTGCTACCAGTCACAGATGACTGGGCCATTCAGGCTTTCACTTAAGGTTTGAACGAGCGAAGTTCGACGGCTTCACGTTGATTAAAGCATAACCTGATCGAATACCCAGCCATCATATGGGCCGACATGCACAATCGGTACCAATCGAAAATTAGGGTCGAAGATGATCAATTGGGGTCTGAACCCGCTGGTCGAAGGGTTACCGATCGGGAACGAGGTCCGATTGGGGATCGATACCAACTGTACAATGGAAGCCACAGAGTCAGTGAATCGAGACATAACCTCAGGCAAAATAACAAAATAAGTGATCGAGGTCATGCCTCCCGGGGGCTGATAAACAGAAGCAGCTTCGATAAGCCTGCCGGATCTAAGGAAGCACCTCGGTTATCGGAATATAACTTCAACGTCGATGTATTCGCCATTGTATCGGCTATCGTACGCATCAAAGACACTAAATGGCCTTGACCCATGCAGACCGATCCTGCCCAGAGGAATCTTAATCAAACGTGCGAATATCATGGCACTCATGGCCACAGAACGGAAGATTGCAGGCAACTAAGAGAGGAAGTAGCCCGGTTATTTAACAAAGGGCACCTTCGAGAATTTCTGAGCGATAGGGCGAAGAACCATTTTAAAAATAGGGATTTCAGCAAGCAAAACGAACAAGAAGAACCGCAGCACGTCATTCACATGATCATCGGCGGCGCTGATACCCCTTAGGGACCAGTGCTTAAATGCACTAAAACATCGATTGTGAGAGAAAAGCGATCTCGAACTCAAGATTACACACCCATAGGGACTTTGTCCTTCAGTGATGAAGATGCAGAAGGAGTCATTCAACCTCATAACGATGCACTAGTAATATCCGTACTCATGAATAAAACTAAAGTTAAGCGTGTGTTGATCGATCCAGGTAGCTCGGCCAATATCATCAGATTGAAGGTCGTGGAACAGCTCGGCCTGCAGGACCAGATCGTACCCGCAACTCTGGTTCTAAATGGATTCAATATGGCATGTGAAACCACCAAAGGTGAGATAATCCTACCAATAAACATGGCTGGAACCATCCAGGAAATGAAGTTTCACGTGATCGAAAGCGACATGAGATACAACACCCTTTTCGGAAGGCCATGGATCCACAACATGAGAGTTGTACCTTCGACTCTACACCAGGTCCTCAAATTCCCAACATCGAGAGGTGTCAAAATAGTGTACGGAGAACAACCNTGATGAAGATGCAGAAGGAGTCATTCAACCTCATAACGATGCACTAGTAATATCCGTACTCATGAATAAAACTAAAGTTAAGCGTGTGTTGATCGATCCAGGTAGCTCGGCCAATATCATCAGATTGAAGGTCGTGGAACAGCTCGGCCTGCAGGACCAGATCGTACCCGCA